TCAATAACTTGAAAAATGAATCAAGCGAGGAAATTTCCTGGACATGTAAAAAGCTTGCATACCGTTATATTGTTGGCACCAAGCTCAAGAACACGCAAAGAGGCCAAATTAAGAAGCGTATGTGGTATTTTTGTCAGCAAATTTGATGCCAAATACAGCACCGATAATGAAGGTGGGAATTCCCGCATCGATTCATTTTTCAAGTTATTGAACGACAAGTCGAGAAACCTGTCGAATTAAAAGCTCTCCATACTGCAAATTGGCGAGGGAGGACAGGGCCTCTGGAAGCACATGTATTCTGTTGTCGTACAGTGAAAGCTCAATAACGTTCGGGCAACAGGTGACGACCGAATCGAAGGCAGTTAAGCGATTTTGCCTTGCATTAATAACCTATAAAATTAGAGAGGATCGTTCCTTTAGTGTCGGGCGTAGAGGCGGGAGCGAAGTAAGCTGTGCATGGACGCAATAAAGCTCATCATCGTCCATCGCAAAAATTCCAAAAAAATTGTCTCTCCATGCTAGCCAAATGACACGAAACTTTGACCCCTGCTATTATGGCCAGAATTAAATGGTTGCCACCTGCGCGCTTTAGAACTAACTAATACTACATGATGGCCAGCACGCGTGCACAATTAGATCAGTGTATGGAGACTGGTATTTACAATGTGATTTGGGCCCAATTTAGTTTTAAATTTTCCAGGGGAAGATTTTAATGAACATTGGCCCCTGTATCCGAATGGAGTCGAAGATACGAGAATTGCTTTTGGGCGCCAAGAGCTTGGCGCCTGTGATTTCGCTGGTAAGCGTAGCTTGGTGTAATGCATTGTAGAAAATTGACGATTTTGGCGATGCCTGCGGCTCAAAGTTTGCAGTACCCCATCTTGGCCTCCGTGCTAATTATATGTAGATCAAAGTGGAATCCCCGGTCTTCAAAGATCTCTCGCTGATCAAGCAACACAGGTACACACACAAATCACTAAATGCATGCATGTATCAGGCTGGTTAATGAAGTGCTTGCCCCCGTGCGCCCCGACATACATGCGCTCACCATTGTAAGTGATTCGTCATGATAACTGAAGAAAACGCAAATTCCGAATTAAATTTTAAGTTTAAATTAAATTAAATCATCAGATAATCATTCTGATCTGCCCAGGCCGGCCCAATCGCACCTTGCGATCTATCATTTAATCAGTAGTAAATTTAAAGGTCACTTCGCGGGTAATCTATTCAATTTAAAGGATCAGTTCCGGACGGTAGTGCATTCCCATTCATCAAGAGCATCTGTTCAGGAAAAAATACTGCTTAATAGAGTACACCGTTTCCCCTCTTATCAGTACAAATGATGCTTTCAAAGGCATCAATTCCATCTCCTTCTTCAGCAATTAAAGGGCCCACAACAAATGCAATGTCACCAAACATGGCAAATGCGAGTCAGGTAACCGGTTCTGGGAATGTGGCGCTGTGTATTTCCACAGCGGCGGCCTTGCAGACCCACTCATCAAAAGCAGCAACGCTTTCCACTATAACACCACCCTCTTCAGCCGGTTGTTCTGGGGGCACGTCTAGCGCAGGAAGTCACAGCCCAATGATGCCCGCCTATCGATCATCAACAGAAGATGTCCCACCTTCAACAATGATGATGATGGATACTTCTGCCTCAACGGAAGAAGAGGGAAAATATTGGCATCTTCCCCATCAGGACACTGGATATCTCTCACCGCAGAATGGCGGCAGAGGACTTGATAGTACTAGAATGATGGCCAATAATGAGAGCGCCTCTCCCTCTCTTACGTACCATAGAACTTATTCTACCCCAAATATCCATTACTCCTTTTCTCCAGAAACGACCATTTCAAATGGTGGCATAGGAGCGCAGAATTACCAACGCTTTGCAAACTACTATCAAAAGTCACCCAACAGTGGAGCCGGAATTGATGCCCCGCGACTTGGGCCCTCAAATGCCGCCCCACCAATGGGGACTGCATCCTCACATTCGGGCACCACCGCTGGATATAGTCCTCTCGCATTCACACATGAGCAACAGGCGCAATATTTGTATGCATTGTACCACCAGCAGCTTCAAGCGCAAGTAAAAGAAGAGCAAGCCCAACGACTTATGATGTACAGTGGGTCGGGGTTTCCTCAGGACTCCCTCATGTATTACGCCGGTGGACGGCAAGCTCAGGCTACGATGGAATCCCCTACATCGACCTCTTCAGGGTCCAAAGTCAATAACGGATCGACATCTTCATCGCCAACTTCAAATTCTCCAACCATCGCTAAAAATGTTTCTCCTCAAGCACAACAAGAAATGCTCGGGATGGGATTTTCTTCCAATGGTCAACACGCTCATTATCCGCATTTTCGTTCTTCGACAGAATCAGCAGCATCTTCTTCCTCCTCCTCCTCTTCTGGTATCAGCACTCCCCCAAATTCTGGAAGTATGAGCTTCACTTCGTCTCCAGCCTCTTCCTCGATCATTCCTTCGAAAGAAAATATGATGATGATGGAGAACCCATCAGTAGGAGCAGGCGTTCACGGCGTGCAGCACCAACCAGCATCATCCAGCAGTACATCCTCACTCTTTAACCTCCATCATATGCCATATTCGTTTTATATGGGTGCTGGAGGGGCATCTCCAAGTTCCCAAATGGTGGGCGTACCACAGCAGCATTATGGGGCTAGCCAATTCTCTGCAGCCCAAAGTCAGTATTTTGGATCTTCACGTGGTGCAATAGTTACGCAACAACACCCCCAGCATCAGATGATAAATGGATATCATCCGCAAAATTCTTCAGCCATCCATCCTATGGCGCATCATCCAATGATTTCTGTTGCACATCACCATTCAGCAGGCTCCGCCGCCTCTACAGCGAGCATCAAAATATGCTCAAATTGCGGATGCACATCGACGCCATCGTGGCGTCGTTGCCCCACAGGTAAACAACTGCTATGTAATGCCTGTGGCCTCTATCAAAAGCTCCACAACAAGCCGAGACCATTTTGTGTATTGGACGACGGCTCTGTTAAGGTGCAGCGAAATGCATTTCTCGAGGCAACCAGATGTGGCCATTGTAATACTACTGAAACGCCGCTCTGGCGCCGTGGCTCCAATGGACAATCACTTTGCAATGCATGCGGTCTCTATTTCAAGCAGCATCGCCAATACAGACCATCGTTGCCCAATACGGGATGGCTATCCACAGGCGGATATGATGCAGAAATAATGAACGGAGGGGCTAACATTGCAAACATGTCCAACGCGGGCTCTGGAATGAATAGCTCATCATCGCCAGCATATCAGCACTACCAGCACCATCAAGCGCAATCATCGCTTCACCACCAGCAGCAGTCGGCGTGGCTCGCGTCCGGAGCAGCAACTCCACTTGGCGGAGATGGAACATGCAGCCAATCTTCCTCATCTTCGTCTTCATCGTCCGGATTGCTTTTAGGCGCTGAAGATGAAAATGTTGGAAACAGGGCAGAATTTCACCAACATGCCCATCTTCAGTCACCCCCAGAAAATCATGCTGAAGATCTTGTTGGAGATGATTCTTCAGCGCCGGCTAATGGGGCTAATTCTGTAAATTCTAACCAAGCTTCAAACCATGGCCACCACATGATGCTGGCGGCGCATGCCATGAGTCCGGAAGATGAGGCCGCCGTTTCTGCACTTGCCGAGCAAATGCTTGATGCCCAAGAGCTTTTTACACGGGAAGAGGACCCGAGTGTGCTTGCCGCCGTGGCCGCCGCCGCTGCTGCAGCAAAGATCCATCACTTTGAAAGAGGCGGGGTAGGTTTTGCTGCCGCCGACATAGAAGAGTCTGTTGTGGGAAATCCCGCCTCTTGCTGAATTGATAATTTTGTACATATTCATGGTGGCGTTCTGCCCTGAATACCTCCAACCATTAATAGACTTATTAGACAAATGCTTTAGATTGTATGTAGGCAATATGCTATCAAAAGAATAACTATTTTGACCCGATTTTGCTGATTATGCCAATGATGCCAATGATGAGCATTATGATCACATTGATTATGGTAGAATAAAGCAAGTCCCCAATCAGTATAATTGGAGAAAATGAATTTTTAAATTAAATTAGTCAATAGAAATTTCAAATTGCTCATATTTCCATCTCATGCCTGTAGGCCGATCTGTCCTAATTTCGGACGCTGGGGGCTTTTTTGCCGCCTGGCTGGAGGCTGACGTTCCAGCCATTTTTTACAAAAAGTGCCCGCCAAATCATCAGAATGTATGTAGAATTGATATTCGCCATGTGCCTCTTTTGATTAGCTCAAGTCTCAATAAGGTATGCCGTTTGATTTCATATGTAGATCGTAGCCATTGATGCGTTTGGTAATGCAGAAGCATTTTGCCTTGCAAATTCGACATTGAAAAATATCGGGACCTTTTGTCTGCCATCAACCGACACGCTGGCCTTGGAAATTGCAAGCCTCGATGAGGGTCTCAAAATCGCAATGCTTCATAGGCAAGCAGACAAGTTGATGCTATCAGATGCTACTTGGAGCTCCAACACTCTCAATGGGCACCGAGCCACAGTTTTACCATCCCAAACACAGGGCCGCTTTCATTTGCGGCTTTTTGCTGATCATTTGCTCCTGTTTTCCCTGTTGTCGTCAAGTTTTTCAATCCTCAATTTGGCAGATCCCTCTTTGAGATATCAAGATCCAATTACCTTCACACACCCTTCGGCAATACTGTGGGCATCCTTTATCAACGAAAATCTCATCTATGCAAACTTGGCAAACGGCTCCACGTGGATATGGGCTCTTTCGTATGCTCCATCTTTAAGATGTAACTTACTGCTAATAGCTGTTCTTGATACTGTTCAGGCTTCTCCTCCAACTTTGATAAGAGATTTTTTCTTGTGGTCGCCCTTGTTCGTATCCTGTACTACAAATGAAGCCGCCGGAAATTTTGAGATCTTTCTTGTTAGGGGTGAAGAAAAAAAGAATGCCAATTCAATCACAATTTCATCGTGGAGAATCACTGTTTCTTCACATCAGGCCGACGAGTCAACGTATTCTTCTCAAGCATACCTTGCTGCGACCAATACCATTGAATTCCCACAATATTTTTGTGACTCAATATATGGCGCAATATCAAATTATGCCTTTTACCAAGCAGATTCTAATATGATCTTTACGCTGATTTCATTTGTAGATGATCGCAAACTTTTCCTTGCGCAGCTTCAATTTAAGGAAAGCCAAATGCCTACCTCTGAACGCTCCAAAATTGTTCCACAGCTTTTCTTAGCTTGGTCTGACTTGCTCAACAGCACAAACAATGCTCTCCATGCAGATGCTCAGTTCAAATACTTTTTCACCAAAGGCGAAAATCAGTTATTTTGTGCACTTAAAACGCTGGTGGATGGCAGAAACTCGCTTTTGGTTTGGGACAACGGTTGGATTTTTCTGTTTGAGTTTGGTTCTAATCATCTCGTTGGTTCTTTCAGTGAATCAAAATTTCTCTGGGTCATTGCATCAGACTCGATCGTTGTTTATGACAAGACTTGCTACGCGTTTTTGTCTAAAATCAATGTTTTGGTTTCTGATTCGATCCAGTACATAGGTCTGTACCATGGAGAGGTGTTATTGCTTGTCGATAAAGATTCCTCCATGTTTTTAATGATCGAAAAGGATGGCTCCCTACTGGTGCAGTCCCATTTTGATGATGACCAGTTTTCTTGCTTTTCTCCGCCCATTCCATGGCAAAAATACGGTGCGATAGTTCCCTTTCCAAGGTTTGGTTTTCGAATAGGTCTATTTTGCGATATGGATTTCATGAGTGCCATTGTTCTCACACGTGATGGCGTTGAAACGCAAAGATACAAAATCAATTGGCCTTGTTCGTATGATATGAAGGCATTACCTATAAAGACAATAGCAACAAGTCCTTTGACTGCAATCACACTTACATCTGCGCGATTGGACTTCGATGTGTTTTGGAGGTTCGACATCTTGACTTTGACCTACAATGGTTATGTCCTTCCAAAATCAGCGGATGATCTTTTGTTTTATTCTAATTTTGATTCTCTTCTTTTGCTCAATTCGCCATTGCATGCTGAGAACAAAGTGGTGTCTTCAGCTAGAATATTATTAACCCATCGTGCAAAAATCCCATCCACTTTTATTGTAAATTTCGAAAATGAAGTTCCTTTATCTTTTTCTGATCATGGTGCTTATGCTAGTAAGTCCCCTTTGCTTCAACTAAAACGAATCGATTGTACTGATGATACTGCACTGGAAATAGAAGAAAGCTGGGACATTTGTGAAATTGTCGGCTGGCATTCTATGTTTAGCTCTTTTAAGGAGTATTACGAAGCCTTTCTATTGCCCCTGTCTAAGATGGTCAAATCGTTCATCCCACCGATTGCAATTATTGCAACCAGTTCCAGCCATCAACGCTTTCACGCGGAATCTTTGCTTTTGGCGGATCAAAATGGCTCCAAATATGATACTCTTTTTGAGGAAGCCACTCACAACTTTGATTCGTTTCATTTTGAAAATACCAATGACGATGAAAATGATGAGTATCCAGACATTGAAAATGATATCGACACTGATCATTGGAGCATGTATAGTAAGGATGAACCATTCCTAGATGCAGCTGAAGAGAATAGAATATTATCGAATACTTTGTTAAAATGGATATCGATTTGTAGAAAAATAAAATCCGAGATATCTGAAATTGATGAGAGCGGAAAAAATTTTCTTGCCTGGGCCTGTGCTGTATGTCTTTTCAAAAAATTTGCCGATACTCTATCAGCAATGGACTATGTGGCCATTGGAAGTAGGTCAGATCATGTCTTCAAACTATTGCCTGTGCTTATCAAACTAGTGGGGCACAAGCTTAACTGGGCTTCTTATCTTGCATGCAAGCTCCCACTTTTGTATTATTTAAACTCGCCCGCAAATACTCAAGCATTTGGGGAAGAGGCTTTGATGTTAGGAAAGCATCTTCTGTCTATCGACCAAAATGACCCAAGTTCGCCTCTTGTTAACTTATTCTTCATCGCGGCTAAAAAGCCAAAGCTATTGTCATCGCTATGGCGCACATGTGGAGCGACCTCATCGTTTTCCACCAAGCTTTGTAAAATCTATGACTCATTTGAACCTTCAAATCCGGATCATAACGGGCATATTGCCGTTAGGCAGGTGGCTTTGAAGAATGCATTTGCTTGCATGTCAAAGCACGAACATGCATTTGCAGCCACTTTATTTATCATCGGAGGTGACCATCATGCTGCTGCCAAGGCAGCAGATCGAATTTCACCCCTACTAAGCATTCTTGTCGCCGGTGCTCTACATACCCCATATATATCATCAAACACTAGCCTGATATCTTTACCTCTTAACACGCTGGTGATGGAATTTTTTGATCAACTAGACTCTGGGGACGTGCTATCTTGCATATACAAACTGCCACTTCTGACGAAATTTATCGACCTAAATTCTCAAACTGGCGTCAAAGAGCTGTTGTCATGTTGGATTGGGCCATTCAAACCATTAATCGTTGAAAAGGTACTTTTTTTCATAACTTTTAGATTACAAATGTCCGCAAAATATCACAATGGACTCCACAGATGAGGCTCAAGATTGGCCAAAATGTGACCACCGAATCGATCACAAAAGGGCTGCTTGCTTTGCTGGAGAGTCTTGATTGCCTTCCTCAAGATACTAGGTGACTTTTTGGAGAACAAAAATTACACATGCGGGACTGCGTCACGCGCCATCAAAATGGTTGCATGTGGAAGTTGGCCCGTTTAGCAAATATAGACATGTAAACTACGGAAAATGCAGTAGCTAATTTTATGGTGTAATTTTTTCGACTTGTTTATGAAAATTTTACTCGTTCTGTCGGGCAAAGGTGGAGTGGGCAAAAGCACTTTTTGTGCAGCTCTAGCTGCAGTGCTATCGCTCAAGCAGGGGAAAAAAGTATTAAGAGTTGCTGATCCTAGATCGGAATACTGGATGCCGATTTATGTGGCCCATCGCTTCCAGGCCTATTTCCCCAAAATAACAGACCCATTTTGCAATCTCAACAGGGGTACTCTGTTTTCTAGCTAATTTTTGTAGCTGGATTCCCCTCCCATGTGAGGAGATTGAAAATGGATCTATCCGTGTGATTTCAATAGGCTATTTGCTTTCTAACTCTTCTGATGCTATCGTTTGGCGGGGCCCCAAAAAGACAGGTTTGTGACAGTGTATGTCAGCCCAACCCCTGGAAATATAACCATTGCGTTCCATTTTATTTCCTTTAATTGCTGACTTTTAGCGATGTTGAAACAAATGTTCACCGGAGTCGCTTGGGGAGACTGTGATTTCCTTATTATTGATACCCCACCGGGAACATCGGATGAGCATATCACTCTTGCCCAACTCTTGGCAGATGATGCTAGGTTTTTGGGCGCCATTGTTATCTCAACCCCTCAGGTAGGCAGCTTTCTCAAAATTGTGCTAGTTTGCGTCTCTTTCGGATGTCCAAAAGGAGCTGGAGTTTTGCAAGCTAGCCAATATCGCATGCATTGGGCTCGTCGAAAATATGAGGGATGTCATTTGTGAGCATTGTGGGACTTGTACGTCAGTATTTGGGAGCGGGGAAGGCGTCTCATCTCTCGCTAGCCACTACGGCGTTCCTTTCCTTGGAAGCATTCCATTGGACCCCAAATCTCTACAAACGTCTTCTTCGCATTCTTTTATTACCAAATTCATAAGTTCAAGCGTCGTAGAGCAAGTAGAGGCAATAGCATCATGCTTATAACAGAAGCTTTATTATAAACCAGTATTTACAGGAAATAAATATACAAGAACACCAAAAGCGCAATGGAAAAGATAATCCCAGAATAAAATAGTACACTGTCTTGCTTTGCCCTGAGGTCGATCCATCGAATAAGAGTTTGCGATACACCAAGCGAACTTGCCATGTCCAATGCGCGAGAACGTGCCCCTTTCAATACAGATCGCTGTTTCTTGAGTGCCGCAAGTGTTAGTGTTCCGGCTTCTAAATGGTCATCAAGGGCCTGTCCCATGTGAGCCAATCTATCGCCCACGCGCACAGGCTTTTGATGATGGGATTTCTGATTGCCGTCAACTAAGGGAGTAGTAAATGTGCTCATATTTGAACGGCAGGATGTTTAACTTTACAGGCTCTAAAAATCGTGAATTTGCAGACTCTAAAAATCGCGAATTTACAGGAACATTAAATTTATCAACGGCAACCCCCATTGGTGCCGGAAGTGCATACAAAATTGTGGTTAAAATTCTATTTATTACGGGGAGGGGGTGTTCTTGATTTAAAGTAAAGCTAGGATCAAAGCTGGGATAAAAAGAACAGTTCCAGTGACCAGAGAATAAGCAGAGTTTTCATCCGGCGTATCAACTGTATTTAAGCTTGGCTTGCTTGCTGTATTCAAATAGGTGCTAATTTGGCTCATGAAAGAAGTGGAAATTCCATCAATAGTGGTGGTGATGGGAAGATTTAAAGTGGTTCCTGGCTTTGACGAAGCGCTGCTTTTGCTTGAGCTGGTGGACTCTGACATTGTTGTGTATGGCACAGTTTCTGTGGATGTGGGATAAACTGTCGGGTGCACGGTCTCCATGGAGGTAGGACGAATTATCGGCATTTCGGTTGCAGAATGTGTTGGAACCGGCTGTGCAGTGACGGTAACAACTTCCATTGCAGCCACGGTAAGAATGACTGGTTTAGGATTGTCAACAAACACGGTTACTGGCGCCGGTTCGACGGTAACATATTTTACATCTTGTAATTGGACTGGGTTGGTCATTCTGAAATCATCAGCAAAAATTGGGCTTGCAAGGAGAAGTCCGGCAGCAGTGGTAGCAAATGTAATGGCCTTCATTTGGGATAACTTTGCTTGGGTCTGAGGAGTATTTATCTCAGATCATTTGTATTCGATAAAAGACTCCATGGAAACATAAACAAACAATAAACTGATTTGCATCATTTGGGATCAAAAATATAATTGAATTGTTTTAAAATTTACGATCGTATTTTGCATCCCGAGTTGTGGCAAATTTTAATGTCTGACCTTTTTGACGAAAATTTATCGTCTCTCTACTCCGAATTCAATCGCATTCATTCGGCTATTTTCAACGACAATAATTTTAAGGCACTGTTTGTTAATAAGGGGGTTTCCATGTCAACTGACACAGTTGACATTTGTAAATCTCTTGAAGCCCTATGGGTCAAGGTTAGAATCAATTTGTGCGCGGATTCAAAACCAAGCGACGGTGAGAATGCGTTGATGTAAGCCAGCCATTGTTATTCTGAAAATAGGCTGTTATGCATTCCGGCATATTTGGCCGTCCTCTTTGAAAATATTTGCGCAGACGGCTTTGCAAGAAGGGATGTACTGCAAGCTTCAAAGGTAATTGTCGACACCGTGCATATTTGTCGTAGAAATATTCGGAAACCTTCTTCAAGTATGTAGATAATCTTGGCCTGCTATTGGAAGAAATTGAGTACATTTATAAAGAAAATGGGTGTTTATCTAACGAGGATGGGGAGGCCCGAACAAAGGTTCGAAAAGCCGTGCAGCAACGAAATATGCGGATGTTTCTTCATAAGAAAACCTCGCTTCTCCTTGAAAGGCTTGGAGGGGAAATCCCCGTAAACCTTGACGAGGATGATCTTGCTATCACATGGCTTCATTATTTACAGGTCTTTCTATATTCTCGACAAACAATGCTGGATCAGGAGATACAATTGCTAGCCCATGAAAGCACCCAATCAGAAACTTATGCTAGGCCAATGTTTGTACACAAGATACCCTCAAGAGAGCAGATTAAATCGAAAGTTTTTACTGCTTCGCATAACCTACCGACAATGACGATGTCAGAATTCATCAAAAAAGAAATGGAAATCGGAAATATAATAACTGGCACTCAAAATGCCCAAAATGCAGGTCCAGAACAAGAGCAGGACGAAGATCTCGGCGAAGATCAAGACGAAGATATCCGCACATTGAGGCAATTAGATGAGTATCGGGATGGTATGTTTATTTCACCTAATTTGCAGACCACCGACGGGGATCAGGGAACACCTTCAACAGAAGCTAAGCTGTTGAACGCGGTCGCGTTTAATTAACAATTAAACATTGATCAATTGATTTGCGCCCATTAATTTATTTTATGTCTGCCATCACCAATGTGGAGCTGTTTCGGGAGTATAGCCTTTGGAAATATGTCAAGCAATATCTTCTATCCCCGCCTACCCCACTGGCCGTTGATCAATTGGATGCAATAGAGATGGATCTGCAATATAGCAAAATCATTCGCACCATCATTAAGGAGCCTTTTTCTCATTTTGACGTTTGTGCTTGTTGATGTAATGTGTAGATTTCCTGGATTGACAAGCTTGAAAAATACGCGATCCCAGCCATTTTCACGGTTATGCAATCTATTTCCCTCTTATCTTCAAACGCAAGTCTGGGTCAGCAGCTATTTTCTCTACACTGGGGAGACAAAGATGGCCAGCAGGTGGGCAGATCAAAGATGCTCGCTTTTATCTCGATAAAATACCTACTTCCAATGCTCTTCCGTTCCTCAATTAGAAGGCTGTTAAGGATATCTTCATTTTTATTTAAAATCTCATTCCTTCTTTTTTCGCCGATCAAGCCAATGGGGGCAATTCTCGAAGCTGACTTCTTGGGGATGCAAATGAAAGCCAATAATGGACTATCGCTGCAGGGAACAAGTACATACGAAGTACTCAATAGGCAGCTTATATGGACAACCTTTACAGATTCGATTGGCTATTTTGTTGCAACGCTACATTCCATATTATGGTCCAGAAATACCGTCTTGAATTGCATCTGCAATGTCCAAAGTTCACCGCAAAAGCCCCTAATTCTTGGAAAGATTGGCAATTGTGGACACGTCATGTGCTTCTTGTGTAGCAAGCGGAGCACAAAATGTAGAACCTGCAATGGTGCTGTCGATACTTGGACTCGAATCAGATAACTCTTTTAATTCTGGTCTTGACATGAGAGCCGACATAAGTTGCTCCAAAAACACGATTTTTGAATATTCAAAAATAGATGGCGAGCTTTCTTAACATAAAAATTTGAACTTTAAACCTTGGTTTATGAATGCCGACAATAGAGCATTTACTTTGGACGCGACAAACTAAACGGTAAGTTTGATAGCGCATACTGTTTTCAAAAACTTTTGAAGTTGTTTTTTGTCTGATTTGATATCCAGGGGAAGTGGGAGAATTTCTTGAAAAATAATGTCCGGGAGGATCTTGAGCGAAAATTGAAGAATTTCTTTAAGCTTGGGGTATCTCCACAAAAACCACTCCCTTAAAGACTGCTGGACTGTACAATACGAAGCTTTCTAGCGATCAAAAAGAAATCCTACCGTCATAATGGATGAGTCGACTACCGGGGTAACAACTCTGGACGGCCTAACATTGATGCCCGGCGATGTGGCTGCCACATCGGTAGGCAAGTGAACTAATGTTGGTAGAGCAGAGTTTCTTAGCTCCGTAAACAGTTGTCTTGAACTGGGAATTTCAAACAAAATAAAGTTCGGACCCCATACAAGAAGCGAAGACTCGATTATTGGTGTTTGCAGAGGTTGAGGATGGTGTTTTTGATCTTGGCTGGGAATTTTCAATTTAAGAAGCTTAAAGAAATCATCAACCCAAAACAATATAATCACGGAGAGTTGCGTCGAGCTGATCAATGAATTTAACAGAAATGTCCGAAATTTAGGTAGAAAGCCAACAACAGAGTCAATGCAGCAAGAATATTCGAAATGTTCCATGAATCCCCGAAAAAACGATACTATAAACGCACCGCCACCGAAAAGATTGGCTGGTGTGGAATTGAAAATCCTGCCATTTTCAATCGCAAGCATCTTTTCAAAGGGTGACAACGAGAGCGCAGTGACCGTGGGCGTATAGTATTGAAATTTCTTTTTGTAAAAAGAATTTAGAAGCTAGGAATAAGTTTGCTGAAAGTGCAATACCTTTCCAAGAAGAAAAGCTTGGGCTAAATTGACCTGCCATTCACCATCCAAAATAAGAGCAGGATCCGAGACGTTGGGGCGAATAAGGCTACCCGCCAAATTTGAGCATTCAATAGTTATGTTTTCCTCGACCGCCGACCAAAAGGCAAATGACTCGATTGTGCCGATCGACTTTAAAAAGAGTTCGCTGATAAGAAAAGAACTTGAGGGCGAATCTGTGAATCTTTTTTCTAGTTTCTGAAGCTTTTCTGCCGACGCAGATAAACTACTTGCCTCTTCCTTGCTATTTAGCCGAGGAAAAAAATCCTTAATGGACGAGATTAAATATTGCTTTACAAATAGCTTGGCAAACCAAAAAATATTTTCGGGCTCAACGCAAGACCACAAATCAAAAAGCTAAGTTTTTAGTTAAAAGCAGTTACATCGAAACAGGTGGGGTCATCGGTTTCCAAAATAAAGGAATTGCACGGGGCAGAGTGAATCACGGGCTTTTCAAATTTATCCATCACTCGCTCATAGAATAGATCCCTAATCTTCTGCTTATTGCGGAACAAGATTAGGTCTCGCTTGCTTTTTGAAGAAATAAACCTGTAGGAGTCTGAAATTATGAAAAAATCTTACCTTCAAAGTCCTCAAAAGGAATACTAAGTCTCAGCGTGGATAGACGACTACTGATTCCACGGGTATTCTGCGAAAAAGAGCAAAGAGAAGGCGCAAAAGCTTCCAATCTAAATAAATAAAAATGGCAGCCACAAGCATACGTCTTATTGCAATATTGGATTATGAAATCCGACCCAATCAATGCGACCAGCAATCCGGATAACCTCTCACAAAGTATGGCACCAAAGATGGACTTTTCACTTGTAAATGAGGATAAATATTTTTCAAAAGAAGCCAAAAATAGCCCCTTCATATGAATAGAGAAAATCCCACAGTCAAAGCCAAGAGGGAAAATTGCAAATAAAAATGGCAATAAACAGACTTCATCAACAGGATATTCCGAAATTGCCTGCAATAAATAAGATTCACAGGCCTTGTTGCTTTCGATAAGGAACTCTGCATTTTGAGATAGCTTAATAGCGGAATCGGAAGCAATGGACATATTTGAGGGCCGGATTGTAAATTTTAAATTTTACCCTACAAAGTGCCCGAAATTATGTTACCTACTTTAGGCAGATTAATTAAATTTTCCATTTTATGTCTATATTATGGTTCAGACTTTCCTCGTGTCCCTCGCCTCTGCGAAAAGGCAAGATATTCACAATGGAAGCAAGAAATCTTTCAATATTTTCTTTTCTATCAAAAAATAGTGCTTTAAAGGCAGAATTGGTTGCCAATTCGTTTCCAAGAGATCCGGACAAACAGGCATATGCTTATAAGCTCTTATTGAACGTCGATCCTAACCGCGTTATCCAGAGATACGAGTCAAAGAAATATGCCCAAAATTCTACATGTACAAATTTTTATCTTTCAGCGCTGTCCCAAACGGGAAACCTGAATAGACTTTCTCCTTTGATCGAGAGAAAGCAAGAGATAAAGTCTCCCGCGACTGCACCATCAGACAAAAAGTCCACTGAAAAATTGAATAAGCCAAAATCAACACGCAGGTCACAACCTGCGTTTCCTCTCTCCTCGCCATTATCAGCAATCAATTTTAAATTGGGAACGAAAGATTTTCCCTTGGTGGTGAAGCCCATAGGCCCATTCGCTGGAAATAGGAATCGTGGTGGAATTTTTAGACGTTTATTTTCCATTCTCTCAAATATGGCGCTAATTGGAGCAGTTGGGTACTTGATTTTTTCCTACTCTAACAACCAAAAGTTTGCCGGAATGTCCATGAAGGTCCATCAATTTTTCAAGCAGGATTCAACTGGGAAAGCTGTCACTTTTTCCGATGTTCAAGGCTGCGATGAAGCGAAAGAAGAACTTGAAGAAATCGTTGCTTTCCTAAAAAATCCAGAGCGTTTCAACAAACTAGGTGCGCATTTACCCAAAGGGGTTTTACTGGTTGGGCCTCCAGGAACCGGAAAAACATTACTTGCTCGCGCAGTTGCTGGTGAGGCAAACGTTCCCTTTATTTATGCCTCTGGGGCTGAATTTGATGAGTTGTTTGTTGGGATGGGCTCACTTCGCATTCGTCAAATGTTTGAAAATGCCAAAGAACAGGCCCCTGCAATAATTTTTATTGACGAAATTGATGCAATTGGATCGAAGCGGAATCCAAGGGATCCCCAACATGCCAGAATGTCACTTAATCAGCTCCTAGTGGAGTTAGATGGCTTCACAGAGGCAAAAGGCGTCATTGTAATTGGGGCAACGAATTTCCCAGAAACATTAGACAAAGCCCTTCTTCGGCCTGGGCGTTTTGATAGGCACGTATATGTCCCTTTACCGGATGTCAGGGGTCGAATGCAAATTCTAAACTTATACTTGAAAGATGTGCCCACTGATGAGCAGAGCAAGGTGGATGTCAGTGTACTTGCCCGGGGAACACCTGGATTCTCAGGAGCAGATCTTTCTAAAATGGTCAACCAGGCAAAGATTCTGGCTTCAAAGCAAGGCCATTCTTCGATATCTATGTCCATCCTAGAAGCGGCAAAGGATGAAATGCTGATGGGGCAAGAGCGCAGATCTGCCGTCATTGAAGAGAAAATCAGGCGCCTTACGGCATATCATGAAGGAGGACATGCTATCATTGCACTTTGGACTCCATATGCACTGCCAATTCACAAGGCCACGATTATGCCACGAGGCCAGAGCCTTGGGCTCGTATCTCAACTTCCGGATGGTGACCAGCTCTCTTTGAGCAAAGCAGAGCTTTTGTCTAATTTGGACGTGAGTATGGGCGGCCGCATGGCCGAAGAGCTCATTTTTGGAAGCGAAAATGTAACTACTGGGGCATCTTCTGATTTTTCCAACGCTACAAAAGTTGCAAGGGCTATGGTCAGCAAGTACGGCATGTCCGAAAAGGTATTCTTCAAAAGCTTATGTTTAGATTGGCCCATTAGCGATTACCTCTGACTATGAATATGACCGATTGGGCGAAGACCTCAAAATGGCAATTGATTCTGAAACCAGAAGAATACTTGAAGAGTCACAGCAAAGGGCGAGGCTAATTTTAACAAAAAACATCGGGCATTTACATACCCTTGCTGCTGCGTTGCTAGAACAAGAGACGATGAGCAAAGATCAGATAATCGAATTATTAGAGAAAAATGGTGCCATAATTCCAAATTCACTACGTGGATCCAGTTGCAACAAGGCAAGCCATCCTTCCATAGGCGTGGGCGCAGGCACAACCGAAAGTCGCTTGAGCGTTTTTGATGCACAATCTTTATATTGTCACAACTAAAATTCAACAGAACATAAAAGGATATTTAAATATAATTGGATTGGGCGTCTTCTAAATTATTAGGAATCATATTTCCGTGTTGAAAGGCATGCACAATATCAGCTAGATACCTAACGCGCTGTATGTGTCTGCGAAAATTGCTTCTATTGCACCAATAACCAAATATGACCAATTTAGGACTAGGGTTGGGGTTCGATTTTGTGTTCACATTAGGGCTGGGTCTTTTCAAACTTTAAAATTTCATTTCAAGGTTGGGTGCGCACCATGCCAGGCCCGAAACAATATATGAATTCAAATTGTTCCAAAATCGGAGGGTATATTGTTCTCAAGCTACATTGCATAAATTAGATATTAAATCGTATAAAATAGCAGTAATGATGGGCACCTTTTTACACGGGCATGGACTTGAGCGAATATCTTGCCATTTTATAAAATTTAGGCTATGTTTAAATTTTTACAATCACCATCAAATATGTCATTAAACGAAGGGCTTACCCCATTTGTTTTATGCCATTTTTCCGAAAATGTGCGCAGAAATCTTCCGGAAAAACTTGATGCTTTATTCTCGAAAAGAGTGATCCTGCAAAAGCCAGGTTTGTAGTGTTTACTTTATCATACAAGGTTTCAGTCAGCATGAGGGATCCAATCACCCCAAAATCGATGGTCAACATTGATTCTATTGAAGCGTCGTTCCTGACGTTTCAAAATTTTGTGCATATGAATAGCGAAAAAAAAGCCTGGCTAGATTCCATCTTCAAAGAGTCGTTGGAGGGACACTTGACATCCGAATATTCAGTTGAGCAAGAAGCTTTGTCAAGTGCGTATTTATCTTTGCTTATTGTGTCATAGTCAATAATCTCCCATGGGTTTCTGATGTTTATGTAAATACAGCACAGAGAAGGATCGTCTCTAAAGAATCTTTTTTTAGTTTTCCCGTAGGAAGTAACAGTGTTCATGTTTATGTTGCATGTAGTACTTCTATTTTTGGCCGAAAGTGACCTTAAAGTGGCTTTTGATTTTCAAGTCCTCAATTTGAAGGCTGAAATCTTTAATTTCATTTCTTCCACTTTGAATGGAATGCCTTATGATACGACGGAACTTGCGCTTTTCACGAAATGCATCATCTTATCTGAAAAGAGCGTGGCGGATTCCGCAGAAACGCCATCTGCATTGTCAGCCGAGGATTTTTCTAAAACAAGGCGCCCCAACGACAATGAAACCATTGAAATTAGTAGATTAGAAACAGACCTAGAAATTGTTTATGCAAAAATCTTGAGTGAGCAAATAGTTCCTTGTCTTTTGAATTCAATATCTCAAATGAATATAGAGGTATTTCCGTTTTTTCACTGCAGGTTTCTGGATTTCGGAGAACGCTGGCCTCTCGGCTATTTTCTGCATCCAAAAAAATATTTTCCCTATCTGATTCTGTGATTAATGCCACTAACAATGCCAGCAACAGTAGTGTTAGCCATTCTATAAATTATGATAACGAGTCAACACGGTAATTATTGCTTTTCGCCTATCCCATTAGACCAGAGCTTGTGATGAAAAGACTTGGAGATCGCTCTTTCATGTTGAGATTGTTTTCTTTAGCAATGTCATGCTATGACAGCATAAAAAAAGATTTTAACCTCCAAAAGTCCTCTCTTTTATATCTTTCGGCCTCGGTTTGTCCAACTGTTTTGACCACTTTAGGAGATGTACTTGCTTTCTGAAATTGCTAGCGGGGTTGAACTATCTGAAGATGATAGGACATTTGAAGTCCTACAATCGACATATTTATCTTTTCAAACAAACCATTCCATGATCAAATGGTATTTGATTTATTCTAGGCATTTATACTACCTATTGCAAAAAAATCTTTTGGTTGATGCCATCTCGACAATTCTTCGCGTATCGAACGACGTATGCATGGTAATACATTGTAACATCTAGTTTGTTTGTCCGCAAATTGTCTCTGCAGTCACTGCTGAAATTGCTGCAATCCTCTTTTTGTCGTCATTCAGTACACCGATGCATCGAAAGGCAACATATTACTTTGCAATTTCATCAAAAAGATTTTCCATTGCAAAGGGCCTTGTAATTTAGAATATCCTTTTTATCGTTTTAATAGGACCAGAATTTCTGCCAGCATCACAGCAGACGCACAAAAGTGCTCGCTCATCAACTACTTCGGGGGCATGGTTGGGACATGGTCAATAAATGGTTTCTATCTTACCCTCAGCAATTCAACTTAAAATTTATAAAGTTAAAATTTAAAATGTCATCATCGGCCAAAGAGGATTGGCTGGCTCAAACTCCAGAATCGAAACATTCTCTTGCCCCCGCACCGGAAGGCAATTTGCCTGAAAATAATCCATCCAAAGATGCAAATGTTTGGACTTACTTTTTCCAATATCCTTTAGGAGAACGAAGATGGGGAAGTTGAGGAGTCTATCGATGTCCACTTTGAACCTGTTGTGAAGTTGGAAATCATCGAAACCAAATCCCTTGAAGAGGAAGAGACCGTTTTATACAAATCGTAAGCAATTTCAAATCATGACGAAATAGCCGCGCAAAGCTGTTCAGATATGACAAGCCAACCTCCCAGTGGAAGGAACGAGGAACCGGCGATGTTAAGCTCCTACAGCATTCATCAACTGGAAAAATAAGAGTCTTGATGCGAAGAGATCAAACGCTAAAAATATGTGCTAATCATTATAGTACCACTTAGCCTTTTATCCTTATTTTAGTATTGCCCCAAATGAAGCTAGTCCCCAATGTTGGATCGGATAGGTCATGGGTTTGGAGCACCCCTGCCGACGTCTCCGACGGCGAGCCAAATGCAGAGCTCCTTGCAATTAGATTTGGAACGCCTGAAATTGCTCAAACATTTAAGATCAAATTCGAAGAGGCTCAGCAGCTAAATACAACGACAGGCTCTTTAGAAAAAATCGAATCAAACAATGGAAAGGACAAAAATCCTGCCAATGAAAAAGAGTCGACATCCGCCGACGATGCAAAGCCTAAAGAGGAATAAAAAGCTTATATGCCAATAAGAGCGGTACCCAAAACTTTTCCAGAAGGAATCTCAAAATTAAGGCCCAAGTGAGGGCTATGTTAACGCTTGAAGTTGAGACTGCTGTTTTATTTTGCATAAAACACGGTGAGAATGCATAAATAAACAAAGCGCTGTAAGACATCCCGACATATGGTTAGTAAATGTTATATGATAAAATTATAACAGCCCTTAGTTCTGATGGCTGCTGCTTATTTCTGTTATTAACTTTTGAATATAAACACATAGATAATTATCATCTGTTGCTGTTATCGATTTCAACACTATTATAGGTCGTTGTTTTGTTAGTAAGTTAGGTCGACGCATCTTGCACCAGCCGTCTCCGAGCTAATATAGCTGGTTATCCCGATAAGAGATTGTGCATTTATGTTTGATAGATCTATTTCAATCCTTTAAAGCATTTTGAAGCTAAAGAATTACTCGGCCAAATGCAAACACAAGTAGGATGACCTGGTGATTAATTTTCGGAGTTTAATAGACCATTTGGACAAGTATTGAATTTAATATTCCGATTGGATGCAAAATTTTCGGTGCAAAACAGTCTATAAAGCTCTAGAAACCTTTTCAGCAAACTTTCCACCAAAATGAAGATTGGAACCCTTCTATTTCTCGTAGCTTTTATTGCTATTCTCGCTATCCCTTCCCTACAACTTGAAGAAGTAATTCAGCCAAAAAATGGTTCACAAACTCAAGTTCCGACTTTTAAAGTAACTGTACTACTTCCAGAAAATGCAGTACCTCCACAAGATCAACTGCCTCAACAAGATCAACTGTCTCAACAAGATCAACTGTCTCAACAAGATCAACT